ACATTTATCATTTGCGGAAAATATCATAACATTTTTTTAATATTCTGAAAACTGTGAAGACCAAGCAGTTCATAGAAGTTTATAGGTTTTACTAGAGACCAATTAATACAATACAAACATGATATTACACAGGGAATCCTTTGTCATCATTCCATTTTGAGTGGTGTTATTTAAATAATCGTATGTGATATATGTAAAATGACGCAATCTTGATAATTTGATTTTTGTTTTTAACACAGTAAACCTATATCCCAGTCTCAGTTACACAACCATTCAGGAGCTAATATCAGATGTATAAAAAAGAATTCTAATAGCATGGAATTCTGGATCGAATATAATTGTTTAATGGTAGATGTCGTTGTAATGCATTTGCCAGGTACCATCGTTATCGTGACTGTGAGATTTATATATTATTGTAAACAAATGACAAAAAGACTAGTTGGAAAAGAATAATTCTTCATTTCATTTAACTGTCTTCTAACGTAAATCTTCAAGAGTTATCTGTTTAAGCATTTAACATAACATGTAAAAGTGATGCTTTTTTAACTCATTATCTATGAATTAATTCGTGATAAAACTGATGTAAAAAAAGGTTATTACATCATTGATTCATATCTTATTTCATTAAATCAATTTGAATATCTAAATAAGGTATCCATATGTGATAATCAAATATGTAAGGCAATTAAGTTCTAATTTTACTTCAGTTGCTGATTAATTTGAAAATGGGAAACAAACTTCATTATTGAAGTGTTCACTTAAAACTTTGTTTTCATGTATCGCCAGTTTTATAAGATGGAATGAATTATTTATTGGTTATTAATTTTAATAACTCTCATTACAATTACTGAGCAACAGTTTTTCAACTTAGTTCTAGATAAGAATGATCCAAAGAAGTAGCTTGTATGGTGAAATGAAATATATTGTATGCCTTTCATTCATAGATTGTACTAAACTTCTGAACTAGAAATGAATTCGATAGGTCAGTTCGTATGGTCAAACAGGCGTAGACTGATAATATGAACTTAGATCTACTGCTCAACACCTGAACATCCCAGAATACACTAAATAAATAGTCTAAGTGATCATTCTAGGTAAAGTAGAAATTCATGAAATATATTCTTTAAAACATTAGCATCATAATTAATTGACAAATTATTGATTGTAAAACTTAAAAGTCAGTATTTGTTTATTTAATAAGTCATAAATATTCAAGGCTTTAATGGAACAACATGATCCTTTAAGTTTTTCAATAGTTTGCATTAAAGGTTATGATTTTCTTTGAATTATGATATTGAGGAGATGCAGTTCTGTGTTCGTTTTTTTTCTTTTTCATTTACCTTACCAAAAATGATAGTAGATGAAAGCCTTTATCAAAATATGTTAGATAATAAAATAATTTTTTGAAAGGAATGTGGGTGTATTTGAGAGTTATTAAATTAAAAGTAATTTCTTTTCTAATTAACTAGCAAAACATAGACCAGTCTATTTTTAATCATAAAAAAGCTAGATTAAAAAGGATTGTAAGTATTAATAATGAGTAAATGTTTGAAATAAACTTTGGCTTAGGAAACATTTCACTATCACATAATCAACAATAGTTTAAATTTACATTAATTTCAATTAACTCATGAATTCAATTATTAAATTACCATAATATTCACAAAACCCCTCTCTGATTATAATCATCATATGCTTACTAATAATGGTCTCCAAGAGGTATTTCCTTGAGTTCTAATGAGAAGCAGTTACCAGTGGAGTTTAACCAGGTCTGTTGTGAAATAGTAAATAACTGAAGACAATGGTTGACGGTAGCACAATTTCGTGGATTGGTTGAAATTGGACATGAACACTGTTGGACGCCGGCTCAGCGGTTTAGAGGTTAAGCGTTCGCGTGCAAGACTGGGGTCGTGAGTGTGTACTGCTGAGGAGTCTCATACTGGAACGATAAGGCCGTCTAGTGCCTCCAGAGTTTTTATGGTGGTCTAGCTTCAATCGCCTCATGAATTCAATTATTGAATTACTATAATATCTACAAAACCTCTCTCTGATTAGAATGTTAAATTTATCTAAGTTGTATCAAAAAGAACAAAATTGACCTTATCCATGTTATTCAATTTGTGCTTGTTCTTATCTGTTCTTATCTTTAAATTTCATCTCGCTAACGATAAGTACAATTATATATTTATATTATTTATTACGTTTTTATCACTAACATAATATCAAGAATGATTTTTATTCGAATATACACTGTGATTCCCAATCAGTTTGTCATTTTTCATTGACACTTCAATTACATCCCCAATACTAAATATTTCATCTCCTTTTAACAATATAGTTGTTTTATATGGCTAATCACCAATTGTAGAATAAGAGGAAATAAACGCCTATTAGGTTAGACGTTAGATTATTTTTATTCATTATACAAAATATAAAACTTTACTTTGATCAACATCTCATAGTTGCTCACTGTCATTCTGTAACTCTTTTTTACTTTAATTGACATTTGATTAAAATCTGCAAGATAAGTAAAATTTTTCATTTACGAATGTCAAAGATTGTTGCTCAGAAAACTGAGCCTGAATCATTAATTTAACATTGAATACATTAGATACTCTAAATGGCTTTACTTACAAGTACTTGCAAATGCTAGATACAACCTGAGAGCTTCATTTGAATTACTTACAATCATCCAACACGTAATATGAAACACATTTGAGATAAATCAACAAAAGTACGAATGAAATTAGTTATATATATTATTTTGAATGAAATAAGGCTAAATATAATGTATAATTCATCAATACTTACTAACAATTCAGTGGGAAACAGTTCATTTGTCATTTATGATTGATTGTTCATAACAAGCATCAAATGTGCCTAGTTACATCTGTATTCCTCTATCACTATACATCATTTCTTGAAAATAAACTTACAAATCACAAATATGAACTAAGTCAATGAAAAAAAATGTAAAAAAGACTAAAATGAACTAATTTTTGGAACCTGTGTGAAAATCATTTGTCATAGTAACAAAATACTCGTTTCGGTATAAATTCATATGTAAGTTAATGGTGAATTAAATTATGTAATATAAAAAGCTTTTAGAATCTTTCATAACAAAAAGAATAAATGAATAGAAGAAAAGAACAATAGGCTATCAAGTATTATTCGAATAAGCCTGCAACGTTTTCATGAATGCAGTATATTTAATTATTTATTTTGACCAAAATTGCGTATATTCGCCCAAATAATATTTTTCAGTGTGTGAATGGGTGTGAATACACATTAACTACTTCTAGACATCTATATACAAAATGTTTTAACCGCTTTAAGGAATAAAAATGAAGATCCTAATCTAACTACGTATTAATATAACAAGCTTTTAATGCATGTGGTTGTAGTCGTAAATTCATGTTTTAATGAAAGCATTAAAGACATTATACTCTTGATGCGTCCGAAAAATAAAGGACTAATGAAATTTTGTTACTGTTCATCTAAATTTGAATAATAGAGTAGTAGTGTTAGCGAAAAGTACATTTGAAGACTTTCAACTTATTTTACTGACCATCTTTTTATCTTCTCACTTTTCGTTCATCGATGATATCCATTTTCTTATGGCTGCATGTCTTTATACTCTGTGCTTGAATTACAGTATAGAAAGTGTTGTATCAATTTCATTGATAAAACCAGATGAAAACCAACAAATTTAAGGTTCTCAAGGTCTCGATCTACTTAATTACACTGTTAGATCCTTGAACCATTGAGTACACAATTTAATAACTGAAGGTTAATAGTGGATTATTAATCTATACAATTAGATATTAACTAATTTGAGTTGAAACTTTCAAGGTCATCAGAGCTTTGAATTATTTCTGAAGTATTACTTTCATATGAAGAGGGACCTCTTAACCAAAATGTTGCTGAATCTTGTTAAAAATACGTTTTATACAGGCTACTGAATTAGTTGACTTTGACAAATCAGAAGTATTGTATACCCATTTAATCCTCTATTGTCTGTAATTAAATCTTGCTCATAATACTCTAAATTAAATAAAAATTCTAAAGCAAGGTAAGAAAACTACCATTAAACTAATGAATTATTTGCCATTTTTTGAATGATTCTTTTACAACTTCAATGTATTCACTTCTGCATAGAAAAATTGTAAAATTACAGAAATACAACATTGTGAAACTTTCCACCTAACCATATGTTTTCGGGAAATTCCGAAAATAGTAAATGCCAATGAATGCAAGGTTTGTCAAATAAAGGACGAAGAATATAAATAGTCAATTAGTAAGTAAACCTACACTACAAATATTAGGTATAAGTAAACCGCATCAATTTTCTGAACTATTTTCAAATCATGCTTACGAAAGTCTTCAAAAACTAATTAATAATATTAATTAGTAATCAAAGGATATTAAGCTTTTAAATTACCATCACGTAATGATTTGAAAGTTAATAAATTGTTGTCAATAGTGAATATTAAATTAGGTGATAATATCCCATGGATGGAAAGTAGCTTAATAAAGACCACTTACATTAATGCACCTTTAAAGTAATTCCTTGTCATCTTATGAAATAAACTGTCGATTTTAGATTGATTTAGATCTTCACATCAGATATTGAACATCTATATAAAAGTGTTTAAAATGATCTTCACGATGAAATTTACCTTTATTTCTTGAAGGTATAAAATTTCAGTCACCAATTATTTTATTATGGTGAAATCACTAATTGATTAACAGCTTATTAATCTTTCTATAAATGTGTGTATTTTTTGTTAATATTTCAACTTCTATGAATTATACTGAAAAAACGACACTGATATGAAAGCTCAATTTAAACACATTCTACATAAATAGAAATATACTCGTATTATCATCATTATTATTATTAGCTTTATTGAGTATTATATTGTTGGTAAAATACAGAATTCTCAACACAAAGTATTTCAACAACTTTTCATTTCTTACTTTTTAGTTGATCCTGACTACAAATATTTAGTGATCGCTGGTTAGAAGTTAACAGTCTAGCAATAGACATATTGCCAACAACCATGATGTCTGTAATTGAGCATTTTTATAACTTGTACAACAGATAGTTGAAAAATTTTCATAAACACAGTTGAATAGATTATGCAATTAACTGACATAGTAATGTGTTAAAAAACAAGCAAAAAAAAACAGATATATAGTTGAAATATCTAGAGGATAATTAAATCCAAACACCAAAACACCAGATCATAGGGATATTTTGGATATATGGTTAAAACACTTTATATCAAACAAATATTGATCATTTATATTGATATATTTATATAAACAAAGCAAATAATTAATATTAAATATAAGTATTTCATTGATTGAAATCATGGGTCAATTGAAGCTAGACCACCATGGAAAACATGGAAGCAGTAAACGGCCGTCTCGTCCTAGTATGGGACTCCCATGATCCCGCACCCTGAGAGATTCGAAGCCAGTGAAATTTCTAAAATCTCCACAAAACCGCTTCTGAACATAAGTATTTATTTATAGAATAAGCATTTAATCAGTAATGCAAATATGAATATTCTATATTTTTTAATTTTCACAAATATATATGTATTACATCATCATCAAATTGAAGTAAAATGTTCTTTTAAACGAAATAATAGATTCTGTAAATCTTTATGATTTGGAAATAAATTTAATGAATATTTTGTTAAATTATAACTTGTTTGTAATTCACCAAGCTGTAACAGAAAAAATTACAAAAATCGAATCATTAAATGATCAATAATAGAATAGTTTGTTTAAGTTAACACAAAAAAACGAAGTAATTAAAATTAGTTGTTGATCAAATGAACACTTTCAGATCATTATTACTCCAGTTACAGACAGTGTATGAAATCAAACTAAAAATTAAAGAAACATGTATTCAAAATAAATGGCTTATAAATTAGTAAAGTTTTCGTCATAAAGTCAATCATGTCAGTTATAACAACGGATAACTATCTGCTATATTAGTCATTTGATTAAACTTGGAAATATGGATTATTGGATATATAGTATCACACATACTAGATATACCAGAAATACCGATGTTCGTTTCAATACGAGATGATAAGTAAACACTACTGATAAGTCCTGAATAGAAATAATAGAGCAGTTCAGTATTCTTTAATTCTGAATGACTTTCAAGTTTATTGTAGTTCACAATAAAAGCTATTTTTAATTTGAATTATTATTCTTAAATCATCTAACTAGGTTTCTTATAAACATTGTTAAAGTAACTTATTTAGATAATTAATCACTCAGTTGATAACATTACCAATGCTTATCACCTTTAAGATAAAGATCATCTATTCTCCCCTGATGGAAACAAAGTTTATGCTGTTAAAAATCACTTATTTAATAGAATGTGATGTAATTTGATTAGCATAAAATTATTAGCAAAAAACTGAGCAGATAACTCAAGAAATATTTAAATATTTTTTTGTCCATTTTAAATCACGTTTCTGACGTAATATACCCGGAGATAAATTAGTAACTATTGAAACGATATTTAGAGAAAATTAATCAAAAAGTTTGCTTCTTAATAAATTTCATCTAATATGAATAAAAACTTATGATGTTCAACTATTCATATACAAAACAATTTTTCAACATAATTCAACCATAAATTGTAAACCACTTTTTTATTATATAAATTAATATATTATTTATTATAGTTTATAAATTCATTCAACCCCTACTACTTCACCAAATTGTATAACAAACAAAGCCTATTAGATAAAAGTTTGCATAGATGAAATTTTCACCAAATTATGAAATGTCACAAAATATTTTTTTAGTATTTTTTTTTTATTTACACTCATTTTACAAAATTATGACATTTCAATAATGAGAATAATAAAATGATATTTTAAACACAGTGAATAATTCTCTACTTTATCCGAACACTAATTTTTTTTCTAACAGCATAATATATATTACTTGAAAATGAAAATTTTATCTGCATTTTTTTTAAAGAGAAAAAAAAATAAAAGAACAAGCAGTACATATATAATTTTTGTATGTACTTGTATTTGGTTTACCAACTATTAAAACAACATACACGTACATACACACACAACCTCCCCCCCCCGCCTATTTGAATTTGTAGTTTCTAAATAGTTTAGCTAATATTTAAGCATGAAATGCTTCAATTCACAATCAGTAACTAGTTACTAATCACTAGTTTGTTTGTTTTTTGTAAATAAATAATTCTACGCAATATTTATGATAAATTAAAATGTAAAATAAAATAGCTGATTTTGTATTATAAAATTTGTAGTGTATTTTTGTGATGAATTTTCTTAAAAAGATTTTTTTTTAATTTTAAATAAATTAATTCAAAAAAACAATATCTGATTGTTATATCTTACTAAATAGAAATATCAACTTTGGACATTTTAATGACCTTCAGAAGATAAATAGCGTGTATATAAACCAGATTCCATCAGAAGAAGAAATCAGGAAGAAGCACTGGAAGTGGATAGGACATACAATGAGTAAAACACCTGACTGCTCAACAACAAAGCCCTCACATGGAATCCTCAAGACCGAAGGAAAAGAGGAACACCAAAGAACACAATACGTCGAGAAATGGAGATAGACATGAGAAGAATAAACAAAAATAGGATAGAACTGGAAAGGAAGGCCCAGGACATAGTGGATTGGAGAATGTTGGTCGGCGGCCTATGCTCCATCGGGAGTAAGAGGCGTAAGTAAGTATATAAGTTTACATAATAAATCAAAGCAAAACAGATTAAATAGTGAATGAATACAAACTTAGATTTAAAGCAATTATTTCCTTTGATAAATTTCGATAATTTAATAAGAAGATGAAGATTATCAGAACTCTTACCCCATTTCTAGTCTAGTTAACCTTTTATTTTTTATATATAAATGTTCTTAACAAGTGTATTATGTGTGATCAGATTGTTCGAAATGTATTGCGCTAATATATCACATAGCTCTGATAATCTTTGTCTTCTTATTACATTATCGAAACTTAAATTTGTCTATATTTATTACTTAAAAAGTTAGCTTATCATAAAGTCATAAACTGACAGAATGTTACCTCTACTCAGTGAGACATAATATTTTCATTTCTTTCAGAAATGCTCTGCTCATCGTTCAGTTTAATGAAAAATTTCACTGAAATAATCCTTCATAACAATCCCGTTTTATTAAAATAAATACCATGGAAATATTTGTCGAAAAACATCCCAAGCGGTAAACAACCATTTACTTAAGAAAATTTACTTTTAAGCTGATCTACCTAATAAGTAAACACCTATTTTTAAAATTTAGTTATACGATTTTAACAATGTATCCAAAAGTTGGAATAGAAAGCCTTGACATATGAATCTGACTATAGCGTGAGCTAAACTAACTGATCATTTACTTTCAATTAAGATGAAGGTACGTCAGAAATTGAATGAAGCGACTGAAAATGTGGATCGTTGGATCCTGAGTCGATAACTTGAAGTTATCGCTCTCATTCCAAGATTCCATGGTTTTGGATTCGATTATGTGTTGGATCAAGATGACGATGATAAAAACATTCGATTATTCAGCTGATATCAATACCTAATAAAAATTACCTTCCATAAAATCACAAAATCAAAAGTCAGAATTCATCTTAATAACTTTTAGGAAAAAGTTTTGGTTAACTTACAGTTTCTGTTAGAAAAGCTAAATTGTGATGTGGTTCAAACAAATCAAAGGTTAACTGACACGATGTTTTATATAATTCTTTAGCCTAAAATTAAAATATACAAATCAAAATGGAAAAGTGGATATGAGGCAACGATTGATCTTGTGACAATTTGTAATACAACATTTTTCATCATATTAACCTCTCTAACCGCATCCTTGGTTTTTTGAGCATCAAAGCTCCAATCTTTGGTACTTATATCAGATCATACATTAGCCTTACTGTAAGAGCGGATATACACGTTTTGTTTTATAAAATATCTATCTTTATTATATATTAGACAATAGTTGTGCTGATCGGCAATTTCATTTACAGTAACAATTCAGACAGAAACAACAATATATCAAACAAAGTTACTACACTGAATTCGCAAGATGAGGACAAAATTCTCTAGAATAAACGGTAAAAAGTTGCACTGAAAACAAATCTAAACAAATAATTAAAGTTAACAGGAAAATATGAAAAAATGAAACGAGAACACAGAAATACATGAACAACCTCAATACTTAAAGTCAATGTAACGTCTATGCTAGTGTGGTGTGTGCTACTGATGTCGACAGATATAAGTAGTATGTATCACCAATCGAAAGTGAAATGCCTGGAGGCAGAAGGTGAAGAAGATCAAAAAAAGAACGAGAACAAAGAATGATTGGTGTGGTAACGAAAGAATAATGAAGTCTGAGACGATCGATTGACATTTTGCAAATGAAGTATTTACTGTATAGTTCTCAGATTTTACTAAAATGTTCTGTAACTTTGTATTCAAATACATAGGATTTTTTCCATATGCGTTCTCGTTCACTACACTAGAATATATTTGGATAGGTTTTACCCGATGTTTCCAATACTTGATCTTGCATACAAATCACATCAGTAATCAATAATGTATTGCATCGATGTTACTTTTTACTTTGAAAAAAATCAGACTTAGTGTTCGCCTTCAAAACTGATTAATCTCTTGTGTTTTAAAAAAAGTAACAGAATAACCAATGATAATTTCGACAATGATTTCACATAACAATTTATGTAAATTTTATTCGTTTTGATATATTCTTACCATATCTATATTCCCACATTTCTGTTCTAGTACACCTAAATTATTGTATGCTTCTGCATGATTATTATCATTCATAATAGAGAGATATAAACAATGATAGGCCATTTGAAGTTCTCCAATATTCTAAGGTTTAAAAAATGAATAAATTCAAAGTAGTGAATTTATATTTTGCTGGAACAGTTAGTTATTTATGAAATGATCACATTAAACGTTTATTCAATGAGATAAACAACTTTCAATTGACTTTTATCAACTATTGATAACAATAATACATATTCAAATAAAATTATAAATTACATCAGTGTATCTATGAAATATTTAATTTAATTCATTTGAAGAGTATTGTACTTTCATGATACTACTCTCTATTACTACTTTTCACTTGATATTGTTTGGCTTGTATCTTCCCATTGAGGGTTAAGACTGCAATTGATCAGTCTGTTATTGGCATATGTGCATACTGTGCGTATGCCTCGATATCGCCTTAATTCACAAGCTTTTTGTAAGCAATGATGGATGGTGACTAGCAGTGGGATCCAAGACGCGCGTTTCGTCCTATTTGGGACTCGTCGGCCGGATGTACCTGCATCTAAGAGTTGATGTTCACTCTGGGACTCGAACTCAACAACACTCGCTTCAAACGCCAACGCGTTATCCACTCAGCTAGAGTCAATCGCAGTCCTAAATAACGATCAAGAGATACAAGTAAACAACATCAAGTGAATTCAATACTTTACCCCCAAGTGGCTATCATGATACAGTAGCTAAGTGGATAACGTGATGGTGTTTAAAGTGAATGGTACTGGGTTCGTGTCCCAGAATAAACATCAACTCTGAGATGCAGGTACATCCAGCTGATGAGTCTCAAAGAGGACGAAACGAGTGTCTTGGATTCCACTGCTAGCCACTATCCATCATTGCTTACAAAATATTACTACTTTTTATAATTATTAAAATAAAAATAAATATAAATTGTAGTCTATAACTAGAAGTTATTTTGTAATCCACTCAAAGTTGATCTTTAAATCATGATCAGTTTATTTTCTTAATTATCTTGATCACATTAGTTAACATTAAAGTTTAATAATGTGAAAAAATCATTACATAGATTGTATGATTATGTTGTTGTTATGGTTTTATTTACTTATTTATTTATTTATTATAATTAAATTAATTAAAATCAATTTTATTAACCAATTTATAAATAACTTCATTATTTGTTCTAAAATTCAAATAATCTAAGCTAGAATCAACAAAATGGGGTGGATATTATGGTAGTTTCAATGGTTGAGATCATGAGTAAATTAAAGCCAAACCACCTGGGAAAATCTGGATGCACTAGACAGCCATTTCATCCTATAATAAATTCAACCATAATGAACATACTAATTAATTTCTTACACTTTTTTTCTCTCTAGACTATCTAATACTTCAATAGAAACTTACTATAATACGAATAAACTTCAATCCATATGTATTTCAATGATAATGTTAATAATTAATAAATAAAAATATAATATATTTCTTAGTGATTTTTTGATGGAATACATTTTGTTGATAAAAGTAAAACTAGAGATACATCGGTTATTCTATAATTTTCAATTTCATTATTTGTTGTTTAAAAAGTAAAATTTTAAATGTCTTATCAGTGATGAAGGTTATAAAAAATTGTTAGATTTCATTGAAATTACAAAAACGATTCAAGTTAAAATTACTTTGCAAAGATGGAAAGTGGATAACAGTGGAATCCATGACGAGCATTTCGTCCTCTTTGAAACTCGTCAGTTGGATGTACCTGCATCTCAGAGTTGATGTTCACTCTGGGACACGAATCCAGTACCATTCGCTTTAAACACCATCACGTTATCCACTTAGCTACTGTATCATGATAGCCACTTGGGGGTAAAGTATTGAATTCACTTGATGTTGTTTACTTGTATCTCTTGATCGTTATTTAGGACTGCGATTGACCAATCTCTTATTGGCATATATGCATCCTGTGCGAAGCTTGTGAATTACGGCAATAATACGTGTAAACAACATCAAGTGAATTTAAAATTATTTTTGATTGAGAATTACGGAAATAAAAGTTTAAATCCTATTGTATAATCATTCAGTCATTTAATTATTTTATTTTCTGAAGCTTGTTACGTTGATTCGACTAATCAATCGAGATGGTGGAGAAGATTTATAGCTAAGGTGGATGATTTTGACTAATCAATCGTTGCATTTTAACGCTGAAAATTTTATAGATTTCATTTTTGCACAAAGAAATTATTTGAACGATATATGAAGACTGGCTTAACTAGCAGGTATTTTTCATCTTGAACCGACATTGATGAAAGCATCAACTTTCTTTTTCGTACTATTTAATGTTTTAACTGTTTTAAGTTTTTTATTTGATATTAATTCATAATATAAAATGTTGTCAAATGGAATTAGACCTTAATGAATTATTTATTGTTATTCATTATATTTACTGTCATGTTTTACTGACCATTATTTTACATCACCTATTAACAATAAGCGCACAAATCGGTCTCTTGCTAAACGTATAACTGGGCATTACCTTGTTTGGACATTAAAAGGAGAATGTAAATCAATCACCAGCTCAATGTTAAAACATCTCATCACTTTTTGTTGCATTACCTCACCAGAAATGCTCTTCAAAATATTCTACACGGTTAAACAATCAGTTTAGACAAACATTAAAAATCATTGATTTGTTCACTGTAGAGGTGTCATAAATTCAACATTTCGAACGTGGTCTTAGTGTTTAAAAGAAATAAGTTCAAGTTCACCTTATACCACGGTCATTACATTTGTGATTTCTTTGTAATTGATAAACTAATAGCCACCATTTTTTGATGTTCCAAGTTTTAATCACCTCTACGTTTTTAAATTATTCTTCACCTTTCTTATATCCATCAAATAGACAAGTATCTTTCGTTTTTTTTATCTCATCGTGATAAGCTTTCAAACAAGAGACCAGAGGATCTGTATTCGACTCTTGGATACACTTCTGAAAAATCATATAATAGAACAAAACAGCTGTCTAGTGCTTTCAGATTTTCAATAGCAGAACACAATTATATGGACAGAGAATATTCTTTTCAATAATTTCTCATCAGGTTCTACAATTATAAATCCAAATTAATAATCCATAAAACTGGCCAGATTTAAGGCATAGTGCATCATCTAAAATTGTAAGATGTGAATCAAGAATTGTTCGTTATGTCCAAAACTTATTATTATCTTTATCATTGTTATTTATTTATTATTATTACACTTGACAACCTTTCTGAGAAATTTATTCAGCATCCACTCCTATCTACTATATCTGACCTAATTCATATTATTCTACATATTACGTAATTCCAGGTTTGTAATTACATTATTTTCTCTCTCACCGCATGTCGACCATATTTATTCTGGTCATTTATTGCACAATTTCATTTCGTTTATACGCCGATTCATGTTAACACTTCATATTAGTTAACCCCAACATTAACGATTTGATTTGATTTTATATGACAAACAACAATGCTTAATCCACATATTACAATTTTAAGTGATTTACTCTGCCTTAAATCTAGCCAATTTTATGGTTTATTAATTTAGATTTATAATTGTAGAACATGATGAGAAATCATTGAAAAGAATATTCTTCGTTCATATTAACTACGTGGATTGGTTGAAGTTAGACATTAACACTGTCGGATGCCGGCTCAATGGTCCAGAGGTTGAGCGCTCGCGCGCGGTGACGACAGGTCCTGGGTTCGAATCTCGAGAGACGGGATCGTGGATGCGCAGTGCTGAGGAGTCCCATACTAGGACGTAAACGGCCGTCCAGTGCTCCTAGGTTTCCCATGATGGTCTAGCTTCAAATGACTCATAATTTCAACTATTGAAATATATTTATGTAAAAAAACAAGAAAATTTCATTTCAGTAGGATAGATTGTTTATCATTTAATAATAACAATAACAATAATAATAATAGTAATGGTAATGATAATAGTAATGATGCATAAAAATCTTTAAAATATGAAACATTACAAATCACTTATTTATATGATTATTAAATAAGTAATAAACAACAAATCTAAATAATGAAATAATCATGAAAATTTATTGACATTTATTTTTATAATTTAACAATATCTCATTGATAAAGCACATATAATAATCAACAATTTATCTTAACAATCTGATGAAAATCTAATAAATTTGTAGTGTTTTAAGGGGTAAATAAATAAAAATCAGAATTATTTATGGGTTAAAATTCTCGACACACACAAAAACAAATGTTAATAAAATAGATATACACTAACAAATTACACTTTCAATGGTTGAGATCATGAGTCAGTTGAAGCTAGACCACCATGGAAAACCTGGAAGCATTGGACAGCCATTTTGTTCTATTGTGAGACTCCTCAACAGTGAGCATACATGATCCCGCCTCGCAAGATTCAAGCCCAGGACCCAGGCCATCTGATGCTTTAGAGTTTTTCATGGTGATCTAGCTTCAACTGACTCATGATCTCAACCATTGTAACTACTATAATATCCACAAAATCCCTCCCGATGTTAAATTACACTTTATTTATAATATTGAGAAATTTAATAAAGATATGTTGTTTTTTAAGAATATGAATATTCTTAATGAATGTAGTTAGCTAATATTATAATTTTATTGTAATAGATTTTCGTTTATATTTACTTATACTACTTATATTCAATCATTTCAATTACTTTAAATCATAATGTAAATAAACAAAAATCTTATTATAATAGAAATAAAAATTAGATTTTGATAAATAAATTATTTAATAATATAAAATATTGTCAGTAATAAGTAGAATAAAATTTATTTATTATTTAAGTGGTTTAAGAAAATATAGAAAGTGTGGGAAAAATGATTTTAAGAGCTTAAATATAAAAAAATAAAACATTCATGTACTTTAGTATAATACATTTATGTAAACAAACCTAGGTCATAGTACTTGAAATAGAAATAAGCGACCGTCAATGACTTGAATAATTCTATACTGATTAGTATAATGTTGAACTTATTTGATAAGTTTAATATATCAAAATGATTCACTACGACTGTTGAATAATTTTGATGTAATGAAATACGTACATATTTCAAAATGATTGATATTTCAATCTATCTAAAGTACAGGAAATTGTAAATACTTTTATTTAAACTTCCGAAGTATCATTATATATCATGAAGTATATTAATCCAATAGTTGTAATGACTAAATATTTCATTAAACATTAGATTATTCCTTAAAAAGTAATTCATCTTATTGAACAAAATTAAACAGTGACATAATATGTAGTAAAAATAATTACATGACTTACAATTGCGATATGTCCCAGGTTATAATAAATATCTGCTAAATTCGTTGTATCACTTAGTGCAATAGCTTGATTGAAAAATGATAAGCATAGATCATATTGTTGAGTATAAAATGTGCACAATCCTAAATTATTATATAATTCAGTTGATTCATATCCATATTGTAGAATACGTCTATTAAAAAAAAATTGGAATAAATTATATGAATTAGGTTATATTGATGTCAGCTATTTGAATTCCATTGAAAAGAAACCTTGGACTTGGATTTCGTGCTATTTAACAATAATCAGCAAACTGAATCTGGAATGTCGAAGATTATATGATGCTAAATATGCTATTTGAACTAATGTTACATATCTAGTTAAGTATTTTTTTAATAAAGTTTATTAAGTGTCCTAAAATATCGTTTATTCCACAATCTTTTTCATGAATTTAACTTATCAAATTTCGAAGCATAAACAACTTTAATTTCACAGTTTCTATCACATTAGTTGAAAGTTATTGAAAACTTGTTTAGATCTAGATTAAAGTACTTCAACTTTTATTTCTCCTGGTATCAGAGTTAAATTGTATAATTATTATGTCAAATATACAAATAATAAACCAATGAAACGAATTTCGATGGCTAACATATTTTGTTTTTAAATAACTCATGAAACAAAGTTCATAAAACCATCCCCTTGATAAAATCTATCCACAAATGATCAAATCAAAAGAATGATTACATAGATAGTAGCTGAATAAAATTAGAACTATGTAGTGACTGCAATAAGATCTCAGTTTTTTATTCCTTTCATCCAAACGTCGAAGTGTTTCATTGCATAAAAAATGTCCGCAACGTCAATCCCAATATGGTTCACGTCCCACCGCTATTATTTTCTCAATTTAAACAACTGCTACTGAAGTACCTCATTGAGAGGGGTACAATCTCATTGAATCGCTACTAGGTCGATAAAATTAGGAAAGATTTGTGTAACTGATTTCCTCATTTTATGAATTGTATGAATTTTAATTAATTTCATCATAACCAAGTGGTTTACGTTTGCCATACATTTTCTGTTTGAAAAATATGCTACTGAAATTATCTAAGTAACGAAATTCTTTTACTCAAAATACTGAGCAAATAACATGATGTTACCTTGATAAGCTTATTTACTCGAGGTTGTTAATAAGATCGCCGTAACCTAAAAGACGTGACAGATTCACACAACTGACGGTCAGAATTGTAAATCGAAAAGGTAAATAATTTCCTATTTTCAGTGACAGTTAATTGATTATTTTTCGATTACCTACCATGATGAACAGGGTAGATCTGATGCAAATGTGAAGGCACGGATCGGCAAAGCAAGAGCAGCATATTTACAACTGAAGAACATCTGGAACTCAAAACAACTGTCAACCAACACCAAGGTCAGCATTTTCAATACAAATGTCAGGACAGTTCTACTGTATGGGGCAGAAACCTGGAGAACTACGAAAGCCATCATCCAGAAAATACAGGTGTTTATTAACAGTTGTCCAAGCAAAATACTTCGGATCCATTGGCCGGACACTATTAGCAACAACGTACTGTTGGAGAGAACAAACCAGATCCCAACGGAGGAATAAATGAGGAAGAAGCGCTGGAAGTGGATAGGACACATGTTGAGGAAAACACACGACTATGTCACAGGACAAGCCCTCACATGGAATCTTCAAGGCCAAAGGAGGAGGAGAGGAAGACCAAAGAACACATTACGCCGGCAAATGGAGATAGACATGAAGAAAATGAACAAGAATTGGATGGAACTATGAAAGAAGGCCCAGGAAAGATTGAGTTGCAGAACGCTGGTCAGCGGCCTACCCTTCATTGGGAGTAACAGGCGTAAGTAAGTAAGTAAGTAAGTAGTCTATAGTTGTTCAAAATAAACCTGTTACATCACCAAAACATAAACACGCATTAAATAAACTAAAATTAAACACCCAAAACTTGCCTATAATACTTTAGTGAGACTTCTGGTTCATCCTCATAAAAATAATGCATTGCAATTGAAGCCAAACTCTCAACGTTCATATCGTCTATTTGAGATATTTCCTTGTATAAAGCAACCGATTGTGAGGCATTGCTTAACTTCTAAATAATATTTATTACAAAATGTATTATGCAGAATGAGATGAAAGCGTTACGGTCTAATATATTACTACCGGAAATCACTACATGAAAACAGTCTATCGAGGCTGAAACTCATATAATGGTTACAACTATTGACAAGTAAGAGTGAAGCGTCAGATAAAAATAACTCCTTACATTACAGTATGTGACTCTTGACATTTCTTATTGAGTTTTTTACCAGACTTATGAAACAAATGAGTTATCTTTATTAGTATTATCACTATGGGTTGCGTTATTGTTGTACCCCATATTTAAATCGTATGCTACCTCTGATATTTAAATTATGATTGCACTTCTGACAATTAAGGGAATCTAGAATATGGGTTTCATCCTATATATGTCTGCTAAATTAGCTGTGAATTAGTGAAATATTTGATTGTCTTAAAACCAAACGTTTGAGTAAATTAAAAGAAAACATTTAAAGAAAATCCTATTATACTGTCAATCACAATCGTGATACATAATCTATGTAATCAATAAACATCTATTTACCTGATATATTCTAGCTTTACCAGTTAATAGATCAATATCATGAGGAAATCGTTCCAAACCTTTATCATAAATGCCAAGTGCACGACCGGGCTGATCAAGCTGTATTGCAACAAATGCTTGAAGTGTATATGCTTCTATACTTGGATTTAATTCTAATGATTGACTGACTGAACATTCAGCTTCTCGTTTAAGTCCTAGACTAAAAACGACAGAAATTGAATGTTGTTATCACAAATTGCAGTAAAACTGACACAAGTATATATCAAGTTGTTTGTTAGTTTAACAAAGGGATTGTAACAGTCTAAGGAAAATTTAAAATTCTCTTAAATTTCGTTTCTCAACTGGAATATTATTTGTTTGTGATAGCATTTTGATATACATTTATGGTCAGAGATAGTTACTAATTGAAAAAAACTTTGGCTCGGTTGTTTCCTAGTTGTAAAATTACGTCCATAAATTTTCCCGCTTTAAAATTGTTTCAACTGACTAACTGTATGCATATATGCTTTCATGGAAAGCTTATAACCTATCATAGGGTGAAATATTGTAAAAACACAAGCCTAACTACGGTAGTATATCGTTATTCTTATCTGTCTTTTTCAAGAAAGACGGTGCCATTAGATTAAAATGCACGAATCCAATATATGATGAGACGAGAGATAAACTAATTATAAACGTAGGACAGTGAAGATAAACACCAAGCTAGTGTTGAAAAAGTCTTGTTTATATATATTTGTTTTGAAAATTCATAAGTTACATGAATATAACAGAGGAATCGGCTGCAATACCATATATTTTGTGATGAGGGCTATTTGCAGTTGTTACGAATGGATAACTGAAAGAAACAAGAAACTTCAGAAAGCTGTCTTTCTGGTAATCAGTATATATATATATATATATATATATATATATATATGTTTTTCCTTGTGTATGTTGAGGCCTAATGTAGGAGCTTCCGTTACACTGGCTGTTTTCATTTGCATTTTTTGGTGATTCGTAGTGTTGCGATTTGGTTGGTACAAAATCAATCTACGAGATTCAACTTGCTGATCTTGAAGCTGGGCGTTAACTGTTGTTAACTATAACACTATATTATTTACCACTTTGAATTCATGTGTCTACTATTTTAAATTGACTCATCATGTAAGAAATCATAGGGTACTAATATTCATTAGGTTATCAATGCTAACTACCCTATAGATGAGGTTCAGGTCACTATCAATAAGTGAGAAAAGTCATTCAAACATAACACTATCATCAACATATCTCACTGTCATTTTCCACTAATCTCAAGACGTGGACTTAAATATTAGAATGAATGAAGACATATTCATGACGCCGAGTAGAATCTAAATCACTATCATTCATTTAGATTTTGAGATGTTTAACTGTCTATTTTAACATTCTTAGTTCCTAGAATACAATTTAAAATATCAGCTTTACGAAAAACAGAATTTATAAATATTAATTAGTAGATAACTTGTAGAATATTCAAGACTTAACTTTCAAGAAAAACATTTACTGGAAAACTCAGATTTAAAAATTGAGGTAAACATAATGAGTATGTAGTTTTTCACTAACTTGCCAACATTTTACACCTCAGTTTCAAATAAAACGTGGTGGTGATTAATAAAAGTATTTAAGAGAATACTTTAATCCAAATAAGTCAACTTTAAAGTGAAGACTAAGGAATATTCATTGAGACATATGATAGCACCAACAGTGATTATACTGTGAAGCTAAATACATTCACAACAAAAACCTGTCAACATCTTACTTCGGTATTATCTATAATAAAGCATAATTCGCATACAAAGATACGGCATTCTTGGGAATTCCTTATGTTGGTTGAATTACAAATTGTTTTGATTTAACTAAAAATAAGTTAAAACTTCCACAAATACAGTACGAATGAGTATATATGATAAGTCTACAAGTCCTGTTTCACAGTTCTATGCACTAAAAGTACACTTGCAGTGTAGAAATTCCTCCGAGCATTCTGTGGCATCAGTCTTTCAGAATTTGCTTAGTCGAAATTATTTAGACACTAATACATAACACTTGCACTTGGAAGATTTCCTTGATAATTAATAAATTTACCTTAAGTACCTAAGAAACTTAGGTGAAATCGCACACAGATGTAAATAATCTTTCAACATGGAAGCATATAAGCCACAATCGCTCTGTAGAAATTAATGACCGTTACAATTAAAGATATGTTCTCTTTGATTTATTCTAGAAGATGTTCCGAATCCCCACAAAACATATAAATTTGTACACAAGATTACTAAGAATCCCATCTTCCTAATGCAAAGTGTCTTAAGTTCACATATTACTTTTTGATATAAATAATTAATCAATTAGCAAAATATACCATTCTTAACTCACCAATATAAACAACGTGCTTGCTGCAAATACCACCACCAATTTACCTCAACAGGTTCATTATACAATAATTTCGATACTGAATGTAACATGGTTAAAAAATTTTAACTCATACCCTGATTACTGGCCTTGTTATTAGTGGCACATATTAAATTCGTCAAATTGAGCGCTTCACGATATTCTTTAGCAACATAGAATAAATATTCGAATAATGAACATGCTACTTCCAAATTCTGAGTATACTTCGCTAAATTCAAACGACTTATATGAACGGGTTCTTTACTTAACTGAGCAGTCTGCAGAAAATAAAACAGAAATGAGCCATTTCAGTAATAAAGTACTGTATATTAGTTATTACGAAATTTTATTTCGAAAATTTACTGTTATGGTATTAATAGCATGATTTTGTAACCCTGTAAAACCAACTCTGTCGCTATTCCCAATCAAGTGAAAACCAACTGGCACAGAACACTTTCCGCTTTCGCAAAGTATTAAAAACTCTAGTGCTATCAACTTCTAGCTAAATTTTCTGGGCTGCATATTGGGTATGGGTTACATATGTAGTCAGATTTGAGTAGTATGCATCAGGAACAGGAAATCGAATTGTTAACCAGTAGAAGATTGAAATAGAGAGAACAGAAAGGAAAACAGAGAGCACTTAGAATAACAACAGAATTGAAAGAATGATGGAGTATGTAAAGGACAACTGAAGAAAGATGTGCAAACATTGTATTCAATGAATGATTTTCATATTTTACAAAGGCACTGTGTAATGTTGTAAGTAACAATAGATCCGTTTACCGTACCTGTGTCTTCATTCACTGCATGTATACTTTATGGTCATGCCATTACCAATTATCATCAAGTGCATTTAATAATGAGCATGTGTTCCGTTTACTTCCTGAATCTTTGGCTCACATTTTTACTTGCTCTTATCTCTTTCAGTTCTTTGAATAAATGTTTTCTCTCACACGAAAAAGTGCCTCTATTTTAGGTTCAAATACTTTACAAAAGATCGAGCGGTATCATTTTCTGTCATAATTTTTAATTCTCCCTTCATCGTTTTAGAATTGCACGTCTCAACCATTTCGGCAATGAAAAAACTTTTTGACTTGAAATTATAGATGTGTTTAGATTTGGGTGCTTTCAGTAAGTACAGAAACTGGATATATTCATACTTGACATTCATGGTACTAAATATACAATCAATCATGAGTGAAAAGTATTTTTGTTCTCGAATATTTTATTTGAAGTAACATCTTTAACCTTTCCTTCGTACTTATAAAGTAATAACAACAGCATTGACTGTATTTTGAAAGTAACTTTCATCACCGACAGAAATCAGCTTTAATCACTAAAAGTCAGAAAACAGTAAAATGTCTATTTTGGTAGGGCTTGAGCTTGCAGAGGACCAAACCAATGACCTTAAGGTCTTGTAACGATCACGATATCTTTATCAAACTGAGTCGGAACTGGCCGGTCAATTATTAAAACCTGGATCAATTTTTGATAAGGAATGACTGTCATAAAAACTAGTTGGAGAATTTTACCATACACTGATGATAGTGCGTGGCTAAAACTACCTCTAAAATGTGATGAAATCTAAGCAAAGTCAAGCGACATTTTGATAACCCAGGTAGTTTAAAAATTACCCTCACTTAACTACTTTTGTAGCATAAAATGTTTTTAAAAATTAGGAATGAAATGCTTACGGTTCTTTTTCTTTGGCATTTATTATAATGAGCAGTTATAGGTCTTGAAGTGTTACGAATAACTGTTTCGATAGAATTTGTATACGTCTCTGTACTGTTTGTATTATAAACACCTGTTAATGGGCGACTGGTTAGATTTGATGGACTAGAATAGCAGATCCCATAAAGAACCATTATTACTTACCGTACAGCCCGACTTAAACTACTGGTAGCTGATTTGAAGTTATCTGATGAGAAACGAAGAAAACAACTGTCGACAGGATTTTGATCATGGAATGCGACATCAAAAAGGTTAAACTCCGTGTAAAACTCGTCGTCACCAACCATATCCTCCGTGATTGCTCTCATATTCAAAAGCCAACATGCCATTAATGAAAAGCGGATAAATTTTAATTTGTACTCACTTCATTATCAGGATCGGTTTTCAAAAGTTTTTCGCAAATTTTCCTACAACCCTTGAAATCGCGACTGTAATATCTTGATAAAGCCACGTACATTGTATCCATTACTGGTCGTGTTGAGAATATGAAAACTAAAACGCAAGCTAGAATAATAATCGCGCTAGTTTGGCAGATGTATAAATAGTGTTCATATAATCAGCTAAAGGGTTTGTAGATATTTTCAGGTTTTTATTACTAACTTACAACAATCAAAGATCCTAAAGCTCCGAATGATAAACCTAGTGCAATGAAAACTGAGTGAAAGTAAGAATGTGAATATATGCATACTGACCTAATGGTCTAAAGCTTTTGTACTATTAGCGAGATATGAAGTTTCTTGATTAATTCTTCATATGAGGTAATGGTTTTGCACCACTAATAAAACCTAGACTAAAACGAAATAACTGTACTATGGGCTTCGGGTTTTACTGGTTTTTCATATCATCCCAATGCATAATGTTTCTACATTCATAAAATGTGTATTTTGAAGTCATATAATTGTAGTAATAACGTGTCTTTGATAGTTGGACTCAAAAATAGAATTTTAGATTATTCCAGATCAATTTTCTTAAACAAAGTTAGCAGTATAACAGACCGATGAAGATGAAACAGGCAATAAAATGAACGAGTCATTAAACAGTCAGCCATCAAATATAACAATCACGATATGTGCTCACAAAACCAGATAATAACGAAGAAGCCTAGTTTATATTTAAATCCTAATCGGATAATAAGGTAAGCAGTTTTCGAAATTGCAATAATCAAGTGTTTCTTAACTAGACAAAAGCCAAAGCAGGTGATGGTAAGGCTATAGATAAGAATTTATTCAAGTATATCCAAGTATAATAACTAGGTAATATTATCACATGAGAAGTGTTTGTATGCAGTAATGCAGAAAATATACTCATTACTTGAACTACCCGGGTAACTATCAGTTCTATACAATTCGGGAGAATAGTTCATTTGTAAAATCTCAACGGATGAATTTGAAGTAAATCCAACGTTTTGCCTGGCAATCTGGTTCAAGCCGTTTCAAGTAAATATAGTCAAACATTAAAATCATCAAGCATAAATGAGTATATGGTTCTCTGGTTAACTGTATAGTAAACAGGTCATCCAATCACGTTAACAATGTTTAAAGTGGGTATTCATTTCAGTGTGTATGAGACATGTGATACGTAACGAAGTGTTGAGATAACAGATTGTATGTATTTGTAAGTATATCTAAGGTGTAAGAGTAATTTTCATTCACTACTCATCGCCTCTGATCGGCGAAGTTTTAAGAAAACATACAATTTTTATATATATGATATGAATCAAATGTCTCAAAATGCATGAAAAGATAAATAAACGAAATAAAAATGAAGGACTGAATGTTTGTGTTATTTCCATCGTTCCAGCTTATTCGTTGAACATATTTAGATAAGATAACTTATTAGAAAAGTTAAAAGTAATTGTTGTTGTTCAAATAATAAGTGATAGATTAAATGGAATGAGGAGTCCAGGTTTGCTTATTATTTAATAGTTGCCATAGGACAACTTATTGTATTCCATCTACCTTATCATTATTATTATTATTTTATTTTTATTATTTGGATTTACCCATATGTATAGGGATGATGATGTCACAGGATTTGGCTGTTAGTCTTTATTTGTAAGAAATAAAACCTTTTTGTAGGATTCTTGTGCCATTGAAATCAATTGTATGACCAAACTTTACCGAATGTAATGCTATTGCTGAGTTTTTTTCGAGCTTTTTCTATATCATCTAAGGATTTAGAAATTTGCTTTAGGCACATTTTGTGTTCCTTCGCCTTCGTACTCAGTTGCCTTGTTGTTTCACCTGCGTATGTAGCATTATAATCACTACATTTGATTTCACAAACACAATTTTGTTGTTTCTCATTTGACGAAAGTTGTTACATGTACTATATGGCTTGCGTAACACGTTTTATAATTGGAATAATACCTACATTGTTTTGAAAATTTTCTTGGGTCAGAACTTCTAATTAAACTCACTAAGTTCGCTGAAGTCCCATTAATCAGTTTGGGAACAAATATTTGTATGAAAAGTACATTCTATATAACTTAAATAAATCACACAGAAACTTTAAACTCATGTTAATTAATACGTTTTTACTCGAAATGATAAATTTGTATCCACAACTAAACCGATATATTTTCACACAGTATAAACCTTAAGAGTAGATGAAGAAACGCTGATAAACACTTGTACTTGAAAAAATCGACATCATGAACTACTAGTCCAGTTTATTATCCTTCTAACTTTTTATTGAAACCCTTCAACTATTCTGAAGAAAAACATCCGTGATATAACTCATGACCTTAGATAAGCGGGGAATAATATGTTCTGAATACGACTAAAAATGAATTATATCACTTTTACATGTAAAAATACTCGTCTGGCGTGTTTTCCCAAAACAAACATACAGATACATGCTTGTTGTGATCATAGACAATCAACGACACTTACGTTCAGGCGCAACTAAATATTAATTACTTTTAAATTCACATTACTACTTCTTACTGAGTTAGGTGAGATAAAAAGACATATAACAGAGTACATTGATATTATTTCTTAGAATTTATTAACCAACCAACCATTTGTATAGCTTCAGCTACATTGACACTATCAATGATGGATTAAAACAAATATCTGTCCATAGCGCAGTAATAAAAGCAAATGCCAAAAGAAGACCTAAAATCTATTCTTCAAAACTACTCTCCCGTTTTCATTGACGGAGGCTATTTTCCATCACTGATGAGGACAGAGTTTTATTATCGGAGAGTAAACATGAAGTGGGCATTTGGTTTCGACAACAAACCAGATCCCAGCGAATGAAGAAATGAGGAAGAAGCGCTGGAAGTGGATAGGACACACGTTGAGGAAAGCACACGACTATGTCACAGGACAAGCCCTCAGATCTAATCCTCAAGGCGGAAGGAAAAGTGAAAGACCAAAGAACACATTACGCCGGCATATGGAGATAGACATGAGGAAAATGAACAAGAATTGGATGGAACTATGAAAGAAGGCCCAGGACAGAGTGGGTTGCAGAACGCTGGTCGGGGGCCCATGCTCCTGTAGCGGTAAATAAATCCCTAAAATAAATAGCTCTGTAAGTTTTCGACATTGGATGCTGACCATATGTTTTAGTGGACTCATCTAGCTGAAGGCGCTCGGTCAGGCATCCGCACCAGATCACGTGTGGTAACGCCGTGCTCAACATCAATCGCAATCGCTAGCCAGATTAGATTAAAGAATTCCGATATTTTGGTTATCGCCAAATACACTCTTCCGATCTCCTCGACTCTGTCTTTTGATTTCTCTGGGTGGTTACGAATTATATTAGGTGTTACTGGTAGAAGCGTTGTCAAACACTGAATACCTGTGTCATCTTCACTCCATTGGGAGTAACAGGCGTAAGTAAGTAAGTAGGGCAGTTGGACAGCAAGTATTTGCCTCAAGAACTATCAGTGCGTCAGCAGGTCATCCTTTCTAAAAGACGAAAGAAGGTAAGGAATGGCGAATGCTAAACCAACGTTTGGTGTACCTGAAGATCGTCGTTAGGTTAAATCTGTTCCTCAGGTATATTAAAGGGTAGACGTAGTATATTTGTCATTCTCAAAGAAAAAAATTGAGCGTTTACGAATCAGTGTGATCCGGAGTATTCAAACGTACTACAAAATCTTATCATTTTTAGAGAGCTTCAACCGACTCACCATCTCAACTAATAAAATTACTATAATATCAACAGAACCCCTTCTGATATTAAATACAACATTGTTTAGAACGTACTTGTAAGTCCAGTGAAATGCGTAGTGGCTAGTGCTATGTGAAGCCACCATATATCACATATAACGCCTGTATTTGTCAAGCGGCTTACCGAACACGGTTGCGCGTGGTTATGTCAACAACGCTGCACGGAATCAAATAGCTAGCTATCCGTAGCCGTTACAGTACTGAAAGCCGATAAAACAAGTACTAGCATATGTAATAAAGATACATCAAATGGTAATCACTCAGTCGATGCACAAATCGGTGTGAATTTATCTCACGCAACCAAAGAGTCGATTAACTTACATTGTTCAAAGGAGGGAGGACCGACTTCAATGAGGTCTGTCAGAAATAAAACCTCAAGAAACGAGCTTTCTCTTGTCTCCTACCCTCGAAATGAGAGCGGGTAGAAAACGCCTGGTAAACTGAACCGCATGGCTAGGTCTGTTTCTACCAGGAAAACACAGCCGTCGACAACCATCGGAAGTCTCATCGTTGTTGTTTTTCATACTTCACTTAAAGCTGATCAATAAGCACGAATCAAGGGTGAGAAAAAATCTGATGTCATTGAACAAGGACCAGTCTCCCAAACTGTACTTTGGCTCATCTCAGTGAAAGGTCAGTTGTCTTTCATGTAGTCAGGGGTAGTGAAAGAACAGAATCAGAAATCATAGATCTACTTAGTAGGCTAATGTCACAAAATATCTCTCAGGTCACCTTGATGAAGGCTTGTAGATTGAGTAGCAAAACGGACTTGAAGCAGAGTAAGTCCAGGCTGTTAAATATGGTGCTTAAAACTCATAATGAAATGAATCTAACACTACAGAATGGACATAAGGTAAAGGGGTCAGCAGTTTTTTGTCCATAATAGCTTGTCGCTTCAAGACAGTATAAAACGTCGAGAGGCTATAAAGGAACTAAATCCAAGGTTAGATACTAGCGAGAATGACCTCAGAATTGTGTATTTTCAGGTGATGAGGCTTCGACAGAGGACGAGACGGAGGCTATATCAGGTGCAGCACAAATCCATCTAAATGGTCTCCAGATATATTACACAAATGCTCAGAGCTTGCTCAGCAAGCGATCGGAGTTAGGTGCACAGATAAACTCTAACAAGCCATCACGAAAACTCGACTGGCTCAGTCCGCAGACTGTTGCAAACCTGATTTTCAAAGTCTCATATTAGTCATAGACGACACCACCCAGAGGAGTAAAGGAGGAGTATTAGCTCTATCCATTATACTGTCTCATTT